TTAGACTCCAGTTTTTCTTTTCAAAAATATAAATAAAATTTAAATAAAATATTGAATGTTCACTACATGTGAATAAATTATTTAAAGTATTGCTGACTTTTATGCCCAGATTATGTTGATGACGTGTTTTCCATTTTTGTAATATGGTAATATGTCGTTGTATGGTCACTTTTGTTATATTTTTGTTTTATTTTTGTAATTGGCTGTTTCGAAAATACAATGTTTCATTTTTGTTTACCTTACTGGTGTGTTATGTTTTATCAATTTTTGTAAAAATTTGTATTCTTGTGATTGGATTTCTGTGATTTACTTTCGTGATTTAAGTTGAAATTGATTTTCCTTTTAATTTTGTTTTTACCAACTGTAATTCGGGTTTGCCTCTTGTGGGTAATTATATATATGTATATATGTATATATGTATATATGTATATATGTATATATGTATATATGTATATATATATATAATATATTATATTATATATTATATATTATATTATATATATATTATATTATATATATAATGTAATATTAACCTTTTACCCTATACACGGTAGCGGGCTTCTCGGTTTGCGCTCAGCACACTCAAAATACCTTATACGACTAGGCAAAAACGTGAAAGGCAAGGGACAAACAAACATGCCCATTGCGGAACTCGAACACGCGACCCTGCGGATCGAGGCATTGAGTCGGCCCACGCTCTCTCCACCTCGGCCATCCAGGTCGGCCTTCTCGTAAATGTACACACATACGGAGTAATACGTAATATAAGATAAATAAGATAAATTTATTTGAACTGCAAATGGGTATAACCCGGAGGCAGCTAATTTCATAAATAAGATAATATAGCTAACATGCAAATTATATAATAATAATAATAATAATAATAATAATAATAATAATAATGGTACTATAAGAATCATAGAAACAATAAAACAGCTTATTAAACCACGGTAATAATATGAACAATAATAATAATAATAATAATAACTTTAATAATAAAAATAATGATATAAAACTGTGTAATTTATAAAACATTAAATAATCTTGAGAAAAATAAACTTATATAATCTAACTTCGCACGGAATGTTTGTTCAATTATGACCACACTGCATTGCTCTTCACTTCACTTTAATTCACTATGACCTTTTAATCACTTCCTTCATTATTTCACTACACCACTTACGCATTGCTCTCTAACCTACAATTCTCACTTAAGGCCCTCATTTACTTTGTCATTCCCTAAATTAATTTCCTAAACTGTTGAACGCTACTAGGAAAGGGTTCAAATGTTTTTGCAGGAAATCTATTTCATTCCATTATCTTTCGATTTGTGAACGAAAAGTTCCCAACATCCGTCCTTTGCGGTCTTAAATATATTTTGTTGTTGTGATTCCCCCTACTGATGTATGCAGGAATACTTAGCCGCCGATTAATTTCTTTCCGAGCTTGAATACAACTATAAGCTTTATACAAAGCGCAGAGTCTTGCTAGTGATCGCCTGTTTTTGAGTGAATCCCATTCTCTATTTTCTTGTCCCTAAAAGTAAATTTAGCTGCCCTACGCTGAATCTTTTCCAAATTTTTACACTGCAAAATTTTGTGTGGATCCCAACAAATTGTTACATATTCCATTATCGGACGAATAAGCGGTAAATAGGCAATTTCCTTCGTGTTTGCTGTACTCTTTTTTCAGATGCGCATTACAATGTGAAGAGATCTCCAGGCTTTTCCTACAACCAAATCCACGTGTCTTGTCCAGCTTAATTTACTATCGAAATGGTTTCCTTGGTACTTGCGTGAGGAAATTCTCGGAATAATGTCATTATTTAAATGGTAATTTGTTTCTCTGTAATTAAGACTCCTGCCAAAAGTGATGGATTTGCTTTTAGAGCAATTTATGGACATTACATTATTTTCCACCCAGTAATATAATTCATCAAGATCCCGCTGTAGCATTTCTTCGTCTTCTTTCGAATTCATACTACGATATATTATGCAATCGTTTGCAAATTGCCGAACATTTGATATAAAGTGTGCTGGCAGATCATTGACAAAGGCTAGAAATAGAAGAGGTCCAGTGAGACTCCTCTGCGGTATTCCTGACGTAACGCTTGCCCCGAAGATAACTCTTGTCCAATTGGAATTTAGTTTTCTGTTTCGCAGAAACTCACTAATCCACGCCACCACCCTGGAATCGATGCCTGAATTCATTAATTTCTGTACAAGCTGACATGGGGAACAACAACGAACGCTTTGGCAAAATCTATAACTATTGCATCCACTCTCCCGTCAGCATCAATTTCATCTGCTGGATACTGAAATAATGTGACAACTTAACTTTCGCATGATTAACCATTCCAGGACCCCTGTTGGCCATCATAGAGCCATTTTTTTGATTTCCCATTCTTGCTTACTGTAACTCGCGACTAGATGCTCCATAAGTTTTGTCACCCCATTTGGAAATTTGGTACGTCAAAAGCTAATTTCCAATCTTCAGAAACTTTTGAATTGTTCATGGCTACGTGATAATTTCTAATTAGGTACAGTAATATTGTCTCTCCTCCTAGTTTAATTATATCCGTAGAAATGTCCTCTGGACCCCTTGACTTATCATTTTCCATAAATTTTACTTTATTCCGTAGAACGTTTACTTCAATATTAAACTGGTTTGTAACCGATTAGTGGATGGTTCGCATTGGTTTTGAACTGAAATACTTATTAAAAGCATTAGCTTTTGCCCGATCGTCAGCAATGAGTGAGTTTCTACTTTCACGAACAACTGGAATATACTCTTTAGTTCCCTTATTTTAAACACTAATATCTTTGAACGCGCCCCATATTTCTTCCATACCTCCCTCCGGTTATATTGTTCCCTAAAAAACCTTGAAGTTCGTCTACATGTATTGCCGTACATTTGTTCCTATCGTAATGCCTTCCCTTGACATATTTTTTTCTAAGGCAACAACAACCGCTTTGTGATCGCTAATGCTCTCAACAGTATCACAAGATATGAAAAGTTCTTTCGACCTAATTAAGTAGACATCCAAAAACGCATCCTGCCGCGTCCCTCTCTAAACTACCCGAGTTAATCCCCTGTCCCAAACGAGACCGTTCACAAGTGATTGGACTTTCCCCTCGCTCATGGCTCCCACCCAGTTAGCGCTAGGAATATTTAAATTTCCTCCAATAACAAAAGGATGGCCAATCTCGTTTTCCGTTCTCTGAATGATGTGATGTAAAATGTATTCGTCGCTCGGGGGCCTATAACATGCAATAATTTATAATGTGGTTCCTGAAGTAGTCATTTCTATTTTTAAAGGTTACAGATTCTAAAAATGACTTCGAGAATATTCATCAGAAATATCACGTATAGATTTTTTTGCAAAATAAAAATAAATATTTAATAAAAACACTTATTTTTATAGTGAACTAAATATATTTATTCCCTTACAAGTAATCAGAAAATTGTTTCTGATATTAATTCAGTTTCAGGTCTACTCTCTTTTGTTGTGAAAGCTTTTCTTTTTTCCTTTGATGCTTTGCTGAACTCGTTTCCAGTTTTCTTCTTTGGTTTCTCGATTGAGCATCCAAGAGTAGTCAGCTAACATACTGATATGCAAAATTAAGGACAGGTTCATTAAAATTTGTACTTAATTATTTAATTTAAAATGAGTTTTTCTTACCTTTAAACTACAGAGAAGGTCTTCCTCGAATCGTCTGCACACCTTATGCGGAGCCCATGTTTTGTCTTGATCTCCAAGTTTCAATTTAAAATTCGCAAACTAAACTTTCCTCACAAACTTACTTATGTTTCTTTGTTGGCTTTTTACTATATATTCACTAAATATATAACAGAAGCTGTCAGGAGAAATTACACATCCTCTGCAAGACATATTTCAGAAATAAAATAACAATCCCAGTATCATTAGAATGCTGAATATAAACTGAGTGTGGTATAAGATTGAACTTTATTTGCTCATTGAAATATGATTTAATGCAAATATAGATTGTTTACATTTATTCTCAGTACCCCAGACAACATGTATAAACATGCTCATATTACTCACTACCAACTTTTAACCCGTTTCGACATGATCATGTGACCTTCCTTCCTTATACCTTATAAATATTGTGTGTTGCGGGTTGCATTTGACATGAATATTTAATTTTGTTCTTTTTTCTTGAATGTTTCCTATATTTTAATAGTTATTCTGCTATGATGAATCCAACAAATCAGAGATTATTAAAATTGGTGCAGCCGTTCTTGAGTTATAAATGGTGTAATAAACCGACTATAAAGATAAACATTATTTCCTGAAAATATTAATGCAAGCCACAAACTAATTTGTCAGCTCTCTCTTTCGTTCTGAAAAAGTACAATTATAAAAACTCAATAAATTGAAATTGAGCCAAAAAGGCTGCACTATTTTTTAAGACTAATATCCATTTTTATAACCATCTCAAAATTTTCTCTGACTTCAAATGATTTTTCCACAAATTCCCTGATTTTTCCTGATTTTCAATGTTTTTCAGAAAGAGGTCACCTTCTTTAAAAAGGTTCCTTGGGAATTTCGCCCACTTTCAATAGATATATTGACACATGCCACCTCCTTTCAGTCATATCATTCATTATATTTATTGATTGTTTTAGTTTTATTTGTCAACTTTTCTGAATTTTCCTTTAACAAATTATCTAAATTTTAAAACATTTTCCCACTAATGACATTTTTTATTTTATTTTTAAAAATTGATTAATTTTCATAAATACATAGTTATATAATTCTATCATTTATCTCTGATTAATTCAACAATCATCATTAACAATTTGATTGATTATTAATATCAAACATAAATACATTTCATTAGTTTAGAATTCATGTGTTATTTAGAGTTAAAACATATAACTTTAAATTTATTTACATTATAACTTTTAATTGCCATTCACAGGAGAGGGAAAGGAACAGGAAGATAATGATGATGATAATAATCATAAAATTAACACTGATATAAGTTGGAAGTGATATTATTATTTCATAAAATAATTTCCAAATACTATTCAAACATGTTAAATACACTGGTTCATATTCTAGAAAAAAATAATGTAATTTTTTTCTTTTAAATTTGTTTACGAACTCAGAAAACATTAGGACGAACATTCACTTAATTGTATCCTGGGAGTATACTTACTAATAGATCTAAAATATTCACTTACTGCAAAAATATGTTGAAGTTTTATGGATATGGACAATGAATTACACCAAACATGAATGCTTCTAAATGGAAAAAAGAAAAGGAAAAAATTGAATAGTTTTTAGCCCAAAATATTTTTTTTGTTATGTAAATTGTGTAGAAAATTATTGCAATATGTGCGTCATTTTGCAACTTGAGCCATTTATAAGCAATCAAATGTATGCCAAAATTTTTGAAGTCTATTTCTTCTTGCACATTTGAAGCATGCATGAAAAAACCTTGACTAAGAAACCACTCTTTCCAAGTCAACTGCTCTAAATTCAAACCGGTTACTTGTTGCCAAATCCACACTTATGGCATGTCCATATCTTTGAACAAGAGCCAGTCCCACTCTATAGTAACCAGGAGTTAATTTGGGATCCATTAACTGGCCTAGTGTTCCGTTTGTGACAGTTCTGCCTGTGCCTATTTCAGTTTCCTGTGCACTGACAAGCTCCACCTGAATATATGTTAAATAATTATTGTTATCAAATTATTCTTATCAATATTTAGAAATAATTCTTATCAATACAAGTGAAATACCTTATTTAATTTTAAATACAAATAAACATAATCAAATTTCCTTTTTCAATAACTTTTAAGTTCAAGATCTATCAATATGTATGTTTTAGGATTTGTTTATTAATAAGAGGTTTTGATGGAAATATGAAGTAAAAATGTATAAAATAATTTTATGCTCATTGTGTTTAACTATATATATTATTCATTATTATCAGGCACCAACTGTTATTTGTTTCTCAACTTTTCACCTTCATTTAAAAATCATTTTTTCTCTTTATTTATCATTTTTGGCTCTCCAGAATGGTTCTGCATACAGTTGAAAACACATCAGCCATGCAACATTTCTAAGGGATGGCAAATAGCCTTGTCCCCAACCCCACTCAGGAACCAGTCAACAAAATAATAATTTCTACTTGCAACCAAAGTCCTGATCTTTGCTCTTTCTTTTTTTAATAAAATTTGTTTTTTTCAAAACGCAAACATATTTTTCAGGAGCATTGACAATTTACTAATGAGAAAATATTTATACTCACACTTGTAAACTCTGAAACAATGTAGAAACTTGCATTCACTGCTTGAATTAGTTTTCCTAATAACTCTCTTTCCCAGATGACTGGTGGAGATAATTCACCAGGAGGCAATACTAATAAAAGATATGTGCTGAACACAAACAATTTATTAGGTATGAATTATCCACATTTAATTTCAACTGCCTGTATGGTCAATCTGATCACATCAATTTGGCTTTGTCATTAGTAATATTATTATTCACATTATTGTTATGATTACCATCATAGGTTCCATCATATTATAGTTCTATGTCTTATTTTATTAAGTTGCAATAATAACAAATCGGCCTAGTCATGCTTGATTGTAATATGTGACTCAAAAATATATTACTTGTTACTAATGTATAATGAATATTAATTTTTATGTACTGAACTTCAGAGAACTTTACCTGTTAGTACTTGAAATCATGTGGATTGGTTTAATTTTCAATACATAAGAATGACCATCTTCTGCCATTCCTATAACCTCAGGGGATTTGAGATCAGTAGGGGCCAGTGGAGAAGTGTGGTACGTTGCATTAATACTTGGACCCATTGTAATTGTTTTTGCTGATACACTAACTATATAAGTTGATGCAGGATTTAATCCAGTAACCTACCAAAAAAGTCTACAATGAAGTTCTATCAAAATCCAATTACATAAAAAAGTTTATTATAGAAAGATTATAAAACAAAAACTACTGTATAAATTTGAGAACAACCTCCAGATTGTAAATCGGTGATTCTTCTCTGACAGGCAATTCTTGAACAGGAAAATATTCACAACACTCTGTTTCATTGAAAGAGTCTATGTGTTCAATATTTACAAGAAATGACCGGAGTTCTCCATTAAATAGATTTGGCAATTCCCATTCCATTTCAAAAGATGTACTTGTACTTCTTCTTATTGTGAGTGAAGCTGGTGCATCTGGTGCTGAAAAAATAAGCTATGATGTTGCAAACATACACTCAGTGGCGGCTCCAGAGACAATTTTGAGGGGCGGGGGACACAATATTCTTGAATGGGAAGTGAAGGAGCTGCAAACTGGAGACTATGAATAAAATTAATACACGATAAACCAATATTTTTGTACATTTTTTTAAATTTGAATTTCGCAATGCAAGTCATAAATGTTGAATTTTAAATAGTAACATAATAAATATTTATAATTAACTTTAGACTTTAATATATTTATAATTAACTTTAGACTTTAGAGAAAAATTTCCAGGGATTTTACGACTAACACCTAATCATGGAATAGTGTTTGTGCACTAGGTACTGCACCCCGTTGGGGAATCGAAGGAAATGTCTTTGGAGACGGAGTTCAATAACTCGTCAGTTGGTAGCTCTGAACATGCTGCAAGAGAACAATTCCAAGTGTCAGCGATCCCGGACCACGTCCTCAGACAGCCGCCATTTGCAATTTTCACAACTCCAAAGCATTGAGCTTATGGCTATACTTTAATAGGACACAGTTTTCGAACGCCTCTAGACAATGAAGGAAAACCCGGAACAAGAAATGCCGAGATTTTTGAATTCCTAAATCGAAGAAAAACTACTTTAATATCGAAATTCAAAAGGGAAGTAAAGATGGATATGTATTATTTGGGAGGACAGTGCCCCTTCAAACTAAATTTCTTTAATTTCAGAATGTAATAATGACACAAGAACCTTCTTTTCTACATTATCTGCATCTCTTCTTTCTTTTCTACATCAATAAAGTAATGGTAACTTGTAATGGTGCATTCCAGCTTTACAAACTTTATCATGTTTGCTCGCGTTCCCTCAAGTTTTAGAATCGTTTCAAATTTATTTTATTATTCATAGTTGAAATATGAACGAAAGTGTTTATGAATGGCGTAAGATAAAAAGTTACTCTCCTGAGTTTTAGAAAAAAATTAGGATCGGTAAATGAACTAAAACCTTCCCCATGGGTAGCTCCAGCATTAAATTATTATGGGGGAAGGGGGAACAATTTAATAGACACGGTAGTGATACCGCAAAGTCACCTCCAATATAACCAACACAGAATGGGTGAAAACCAGAACGTTATAAGTGACATTTTATAAATTCTTAGAAATCTGTTTATTTAAGTCAATGTCATAATATAGTCATGCTTTGTTTCATCACCAAAATCACGGCATTTCTGTTGTTCCTTAAAACCATGAAATTACCCTGCCACTGAAATATAGCCTAAAATAAACACATTTCTCAGAATGTATATCATATCACTTATACCGTTCTAGTTTTTATTCATTCATATAAAAACTATCAACAATATCCGCTCCATACTTCATATTCCTATATTACATCAACAAACTTCTACTTGAAACTTTGAATGCAGTCATCTAGATTTACAAACTTCAGCAGATATCCTCGAGTTTCAATGATCTCCAGAATCCCGACATGACAGTTTTATTGTACAAAGTTGAATTTTAGAATTAAAAATTAGAATCGTCAAACGAACTACGGCTTTCACCTTGACCGCTACCAGTATCAAATTATTGCTGTAAGGATACGCGGTAATTGAAAATGATTGAGCGGAGGGACGGAGCGGAGGGACGGAGCGGAGGGACGGAGCGGAGGGACGGAGCAGAGGGACGGAGCGGAGATTGGTCTGAGTAAAGTCTGGAGTTCTCTGGGTGATCTCTACATTCTGGAAGGCACAAGTATGCAGCCGTCCTTGCGAACCATGTCCACCCGTGTATGCAGATAAGTCTTCCTCAGCAAGACGGCATCTACTACCAGAACAATGCAACGCAAGCTCACAGTGTAGTTGGCAGAGCATCAGAATGAATTTACAGTATTCCCCCGATTTAAACACAATCGAGGATTTATCGGACCATCTCGATTAGTCTGTTCACGCTATGGATCCGCAACCGAGGAATCTAGCGCAGCTGGCCACGCCACTGAAGTCGGCATGGCTCCACAGCCCTGTCGGTTCCGTCCAGAACCTAACTGTCTCTCATCTTGCATGTCTCGCAGCGGTCAGCGCTGCAAAAGGGGTTTTGACGGATGGTCACATTAATGTGACTGGACGGTGAAGGTACGGTACGGATTACCGCAGAGTCATCTCTATCCTTTAATCCAAAAGCTGTCACCCTAGCAAAGAGGTGGCGCCCATGGCGTTTGTACTGGCTGATGTGGCTCAGGGCATCAACTGAAGCCACTGCAGTGCCTCTGGGAGGGATGTACTGAAGTTCGAGTCTCGACAGGGGTGGGATTTTCGACCCTATCTAAATAGCTATGTCGAATTCAGTCGCTCCCTGGAGGAGAATTCTAGCGGCCGACTGCTCCGATCGATAGTTTTCCGTTGTTCCTTTGATCAACACATGACGAATACCGACGCAGTACCCTAAAAACCGTGTACTTACACGAACTACGCTACCATACCCAGTATCCGCAGGGATCTCGCGTCCGAGAGAACTTTATGAGAAAGCTTTACATTGAGACTAGCATCATGGATATTTCATTTAGAAACTTAAATTGTACCAATGTTTAAAATCAATTTATCTTAAGCAAAGATTTGAATGCTTAAATGACCTTATCTCTTACAGAAACTGTGAAATGTTTCAATGTTATTCATTTTTTCTTTCTTCCTCCTCTAACAGGTTGTGTAGTCCGAATACATGTTGTGTTTGTCCTTCATACCGAAACACTGACTTTCTATGGTCAACTTTCGAACTTAAATCCTTCAGACAACTTTCTTTAAATTGACATTCCCCGATTGATTTAAAAAAGCTCGAGGCCCCGAATACCAATTTGGGAAAAATCAATTGTAATTTTAAACGTTTTTTATTAAACTCAATTTTCTCACCTTTTTTTCTTTACGGCAATTGTTAATAACGTCGCAAATAAAATCAGGTAAGTTATAATATTATTTTTGTTGCACCATCCCTACCAAGAACTTTCATTTTCTAACTCCAAAAACTTTCTTACCATTTTCTCTTGTCACGGCATTAATTTCGGAAGCCATTCCATCTTCATCAATCTCATGGTTGCGAGCTGTCACCTGAAAATAAACCGTTATTTTATTGATTTTTAAATATTAAAAAAGAAGAAATTAAAGTACAGTACACCCTCGTTAACACGAATTTTAAGGTCTCAAAAAATCGGAGTTTAAGTTATAAAAAAATACGTGTTATGCGATGCATAAAAAAATTTACCAAATTTGTATAGTCCGACCTCTATTGCTGTAAGTTATGTACACTGGCAATTATTTTCGTTATCAAACTACATTGTTTAAAAGTATACTCTAATAAACTAACACCGTGAGGATACATTCCTGGAACATCTTGCACTCTACTGGTAAATGTTCTATCTCATCAGCAGCCTATAAAATGTCATCTGGACCAAAGGGCATCCAAGATTTGTAGAAACAAGTCTGTACGTAATCTTCTGAACCGAATCCTAAATCTCCACTATTGCTCCGACCATTTCAAGATGAAATTGTTTTCCGCGATATAAATCGTAACTCTCACAAGTATGAAGTGGTTATTTTTCATATATACATGTATTCGACATTTTAGGAGGTGATTAACCCGACTTTTGCCAGACAGCGGTACTCTCAGGCTAAGACCTTGTTTTTATTTATTACCCGTAAGGGAGATGTGGCGAGCATGCTGACTGAGAATCGAACTCAGGATCGCACCGCAGATAGCTAGCCCACCGAACATGAGCTACTCGAGAGGTCGTTATTTAACATCGTAGTGATAATTAATTGTTGGTTCAAAGACCGCTTGCATTTGCTGCAAATAATTGTACGACACTAGAGTATTGGCAACTCCAACGTATGAGCTGCCACAGTGGCCTTGTGTGACGTGAGAAGCATTTGATGATTTGGGGTGGACATTTTGGAAAGTTCTAATAAGTCTTTGTTCTAGTAAATCTTTCTTTGGATGCTAAAGATGGCTTAATCGACAATGGTACCTGGGATTACAGAGTCAAGTTCCAAATGCAGGATACTCCATTCTTCTGTTCGCTTAAGCGATCTAAGCACCCTAAAAATTGTTTGTGGTTTTGGTGATAATAATTTATATTTTTACCGACCCCTTAATTACCATATTTACCTGACGGGATGCATTGTTGTTTCGTTTTAGAACGAATTTCATGTTAACCGTGTATGTTCTAAAGAGAGTTTACTGTATGTGCATAAATATGTTCAGGCTCGTAACTGTACACCCGCAAAAGCTCGTAGTACGTTAAACAACACACTAAATAAAGACGAAAATATTACTTCAATTAAATATATATTCTCCGTATTTTCACACAATCGCATCTTGAAAACTGCGCATACATTTTCAGACATCGTATTAACTTCGTTGATGGTTTGTTTCAGCTTATTGCAGCATTTTGCAGCCGAATGGCTAGTCGAGTGGGAAACCTTATCAAAATACATTTGTTCAAGGTATTGCTAAAAAATTATTTTTGAAGTGCGTTGAGTTTTTAGATACTGCAGCAATGTTGCACTGCTTCACCATAAATGCAAATTAAATTATTGGTCTCATTTTGGGCTAATGTTCTCTGCACTATCTTACACTGTTGCATCGTGTTCTGCAGCCATTTTAAGGCTTTGACAAAATAACAACGTACGGCAATGTTGTACCTATTCACGACGAGTTTGGTGATTGATCGAGACGTATAACTGAACTAGGAAGCAACAAGTATAAAACAAATATTTTTCTGGTGCCATGAGATTAATGTAAGTCATTGTCTGGGTTTCTAAGAAACTGTTTACTGGATGACAAGTGAGCAAGGTTACCCAGAGTTCCAAATTCACATAATCCCTATTGTGACGTTAATCTCTTAGAAGGAAATGGTCTCGAATCATTTTCACATTGCGTTGTAATTTATTTTTATGTAATTTTCAAAATACAGGCGATAAACGTTAGAGACATTGATTTACTATAAAATTTTTCAAGAGGTTTTATTAAAATTTAGTACGCTATTTTTACAACATTCCACTTGCAATTTGCTTAATTCCCAAAATTTCACAATGCACCATTCCAGAAATAATTTAATATTTTAACACAACTGTGTTCAACATTAGAATAAATTAATCGAATTAGCTATTTAAATATTATAGACTACTAAACAATAAAAATACGAACAAATACCAAAAGTAACAAATGAATTCATAATAATAATAAATGCACTAAAGAAAGTAGAAATAACATTGTAGGCCATGTTTTTGATGATCAAAAGCCTCGCCTCAGAGAATAACACTAAAGTGCGTTGTAGGCTTCCGCGGCCAGAGTCATGATCTGGGTTGTCCGGGTGACGCCGCGTCGATGGCTGAGGTGCCGATGTTTCGGCCGACATATCGCGGTCCTCTTCAGGGCTGAACTGCCAAGAGGACCACGATGTCGGTCGAAACGTCGGCACCTCAGCCATCGACGCGGCGTCACCCGGACAGCCCAGATCACAAAACTAAAGTGCCCTCCTCCAGTACACAATATTTACTATCCAGATGTCGACACACTCTTCTTACATTTTCAGTTAGCAATAAGAGCGTTCGGTAAAGTCACTAGATAAAGAATGGGGAAGTTTAATCTCGCGTCAAACAGTAAAATTCAGGACAGCACGTTCCTCAAACTTCGACGCACAGTTATGTTGATTGATTAATTGTTTAGTGATTCCGGGCACCAGGGTCGTTGGTTCCGTAAGTGTAGTGCATTTTTTGCTCGGGAGAGGGCGGCGTTCTTCCCCTGCTGTATTGCGATATCATGCGCCGACCTACCGTCAGCTAGCGGGGTTTTCCCCTACCGTATCTCCCACCAGCGGTGCCCCGCCGCAGCCGGGACATGCTCTAAGCTCCCGACCGGTCTCTCAGTATGTGTGGTAATGTACTGCATGTTAGTGTAAGTGTGAGTGTAAGGGGTGAGAATAGGACAAAGAAGGGGTAGGAAAGATCACGCGCGGTCCGTGGCCACATCTATGTAATTTTGTAATATTGAAAAAATGCATTTTTCAATTTTTCAGTTAAACCAAATTGCGACTAATCTAAAATGCTTACACTAACATTGTGTGAAAGGTAAATACCAGTATATTTTTAATTTCAGACAATAAAAGGTTTTGAAGTTTTAACAAAGCTTTTATCTCGTGAAAATTATTGATATTAAGTCACATGTTCTCTATAAGTGTATTTCAAGCTGTTACGAACGCGCAGGAAATACAGGATATCCAGAGAGAAAACAACGTAACTTCTAAAATAAGCTCAAGTCAAGCATATTTTGTCTAATAAACTCCTTCCAGATTTCGAATGACTGACCCACGATAAACACTCGAAAGTTGGATTGAAAAAATACTTTCTATATAAAAATGTGCATTTCAGAACCGTATAAACACTCCAGAAACAAGTAAATTGTTCATTACTTACAAAAAATGAATAGATTTGTATATAAAGCAAAATTAACACATAAATGAACTAGTGGTGCTTCATAATGACACAGACTTTTCTGAATTTGTTTTCTATTTCGTTTAGTCTCGGCTAGCTATTCGAACTTGCCACATACTCTTATTTGCTGCCATCCATCTCCACCCGAAGTAATTTTTTTTAAAAATATTCTTAAATGTTTGTTTTCCTAATGGTAGAAAGAAAATATTATTTTAAAAATATTAATGAACAGTAAAACCTCAGAAAATGTTTGAGTTTTCGAAAAACTTTAAATAAAATCATTTGAAGCACTTTAACTCGCAAATACAATTGTTTACAAATTACTGAAAATGTGCATATTAACGGGGTGAGAGATCTTAAAACAAATTACATTTGTGTAATTTTTGAAAAAACAAAAAATTACCACGAAATGAACTTTACCTTATATTAAAGAGTGCAATTAGCACTATACTTGCGAAACGTTTGAACAAAAATGGAGAGGGTTTTTGAGAAAATGGCGTTTGAGCGTTTCTGAAATTTCAAAATTTTTAACTAATTTTCACAGAAAACGGTTGAGTTTTCGAAAAGCTTTATATGGCAATATTTTCAGCACATGTGCTTATAAATATAATAATGTGAACGAATTGCCGCTAACGTAAGTATTAACGACTTGAGAGACAAGTAAAGAACTTTAACTTTTGAAATTTTTGAAAAAACAAAAGATAAGAGCAATATGGCGTTTATGTCATCTTATAGAGTACATTTAGTACAACCCCCACCAAACGTTTCATGAAAATATTTGAAGCCGTTTTTTTATAAAATCTTCGTTTTTGTAATCTTCAAAAATTGCACAAATTGCAAGCAACATTGCGCGAAAACTACTAAAATTTACAAACAAAAATGTATACAATCTAAAAAACAATAAATAATGGACAATAAATTTTATTTAAAGGAAAAATCTTTATCTTCAATTTTGTAGTTGTAGGAAGACTTCGAAAGACTTTTGAAATTTTCGAAAATTCAGGTATCACCGTGAAAATTGGAGCTGTACCACCGTTAGAAGTGAATTTTACTCTATTTTTACAAGAAATTTAAAGAAAAAATTTTGAGCCATTTTTGAGAAAATTTTGAAAATGTCCCAGGGGCTTCATGTAAATTACCCCAAAAACGAATAAATGATTTTGTATATCGCAAAGCATCGGCTCAGGTCCAATGGACAGGAGTTTCTTCAATTTTGAAGTCATACTACACATGGTTTAGGTTGTATTATTCTTACATACACGAGACAGACGACAGACAATAGTGTTAAAAAATCGCCACTGATGTAAAAATTAACGAAGTGAGAGACGAGTATAAAATTACTATTATGTAATTTTTGAAAAAACGAAGAATATAGCTATATCGCTTATTCTTATAAAGTGCATTTAGTACTATCTTTACCAAAAGTTTTAAAAAAATCTTTGTAGCGTTTTTGAGAAAATCTTGGTTATGTATTTTTTTAAATTGCAAATATTTCACAAAATATTGCTCGAAAACTACTAAAATTTTCAAAAACCGTACATGTCATTTTTAAAGGAACTAAATGTGGAGATCAAACTTTATTGGAAAGAAAAAACTCTATCTTCAATTTTGTAATTGTAGGAAGCCGCCAAAAAAATTCAACCTTTTGCAATTTTCGAAAATTCAGTAAACCGTGAAAATTGAACTAAGCCACCTTTTAAAGTGTGTTTTATTCTATTCTTACAAGAAATTTAAAGAAAATATTTGGAGCGTTTTTTAAGAAAAGTATGAAAATGTCCGGGGAGCTTTATGTAAAGTATCCCCAAATTTTGAAGAAAGTTTTTCAAAATCGTGGTGCTTTGAGTGTAGCAGATTGACCGGGGAATACCCAGTTTGAAAAAATCATAGTTATGGTTTAGGCGCTAGTGGTGTTCACAGACTGACAGACGGACGGACGTTTCGAAAAATCACCATCGCTTTGGTTGATGGATTTTCTTCGGTTTCTATCACAAAATGATCACTTGTTCCGAAGCAGGAGAATGGTCGCTTTCGGAGGACAGATATACTGGACCAGTTACCCGCAAACTTCTGAAAGTGTTAATAAATACGCTTTTGTTGTGGAACAAAACTATTAGTCATAGAAATCATCTATGATATTCATGTCATATCAGTCCTCTATAATCTTTCCATACAGCCGTCATAATCACTGTAAACATGCTTTATGTCTGAGAATTTCCCGTTGGTGTAAATTCGTGGCATTTTTATGCGAAATGCACGCCACAGTAGTCAAAAGTAACCTGATAAGTAACACAAAGACGATTCTTTCCCTAAAGTAGAAACATATACACTATTTCAGAGTTTTTCAAAATCTCAGTGGTGCGCTGATTAATGAGGCGCATTCGAATCCAGCAGGCTATTTGATTCCCGTTGCTCAATCGCACGCTCTGGCGAGTACTGGCCACTTCACTTCTCACTCGACAAAACTGATCATGCGAATATCGCTAAAATATGAAGAATTGAACTGACTACATATTGAAAGACTATTTTACTAAAAAATGCGAAAAAAAGTGACGTCTCGTCGGCCACACGCGCGCCCGCTAACTCACACACACATACGTACACATATAATAGCCGGAGAGAGAACGACAAAATTGAACCTATTACGAGTACATAATCTTACGAAATATACCAAACTTTTAATAATAATAATAATAATAATAATAATAATAATAATAATAATAATAATAATAATAAACAATACATATCAATTCTGTCAGCGACTAGATAAAATTTAACAATATTAGTACATTCTATTTTTAAAACTTGAAATGGTGAGGAGGAGGCTAGTTTTGACCAGTTTTTTTTTCCCTTTTTTTTTCTTCTTTTTTCTTCTTTCAATTTGTAGACCTACTGCAGCACCTAACGCCTCTAGCGAAACCAGAGAGAAACAGATTTTTTTTTGTTTTTTGTCAGGCATTCTTTTATTTCACAGGATTATTTCATCTTTTTTTTTGCTTCAGCTCAAAACAGTTAACATGATCAGAAAGTCTAATGGGATAAGAAATTCTTATTTATTTATATTTTTTAAGGGAAATGTAAATTGATTACTCCTTTACACTGTAGAACACGTTGTTAAGCAGGAAAGCTTTCAATTTACTTTTAAATGTATGAATTGTGTTTATGTCTTTAATATCATTGCCTAGTTTGTTACTCATATCAAGTGTAATGCCTTCTGTTAGGGTACATTTTTGATAAAGTGTAGTTTCAGGGAGGGAAACATGTACGTTATACTTTTGATGGGTGTTGTAGTTGTGTACATCGGAATTTAAAGTAAAAGTGTTTTTGTTTTCAATAAGAATTTTCTTAGTGAAGACCACTACTTCAAATACATACATGCATGGTAGAGGAAGAATCCTTAGTATATTGAAGAAGGGTTTCCAAGACTCCAACTTTTGAGTGCTGGTCACTGTTTGCAATATTCTTTTTTGGATAATAAATGTGCACGTTCTTTCAGGGGCATTTCCCCAGAATATTATTCCATATTTTAGGTGTGAGTGCACATTTGCAAAATACATTGTTCGAAATGTCTCAATGTTGGAGCTTGACCTGAGGGTGTATAGGGCATAGCAAGATTTGGTGAGCTTCTTGTTAAGATTTAAGATGTGAGGATTCCATTTTAGGTTTTCTTGAATTGTTAGACTGAGGACGGTAGTTTCATAAGATATCGTTACAGGGTTATTGTTTATGAGCAAATGCAGTGAGATCAGGAATTCATGAAATTTAGAGGGACTGTCTTGTTGGTCTTTATGATGAGTTTATTGTCTTGAAACCATTTTACTAGTGCTTGCAAAGATTTGTGAGTTTCTTTTTCTAATGACTGTTGTGTTTTTGCTCTGATGATTATGTTTGTGTCATCTGCAAACAAAATAATTTTGTTATTTCTTAAAGCTAAAGGCATGTCATTTATGTATAAAAGGAATAGTATTGGCCCAAGGATGGATCCTTGTGGGACTCCACAATTTATCATTTGAGGGCAGGAATAGTATGAAGAGATTTTGTTTTCTTTAGTGTGCTGGAGGGTAACTATTTGGCTTTGGTTTGATAAATATGATTTGATCCATTGGCCTGCAATGCCTCGAATCCCTAACATTTATAGTTCTCTCATACCCTACAACACTTCATTTAGGAGGTATTTACGATTTTTTATTATTATTATTATTATTATTATTATTATTATTATTATTATTATTATTATTATTATTTTAATCTTGTAGTGTGTGTTCCGGGTTGCGTTTGAAATGAATATTTATTTTCGTTCTGCAGCACAATATTCTACAAATAAAAACATTCTTTGAAGTGGCTTGTATATCGTGTCAAAATTTGAACTGAGTTGATGCAGAACGTTTTGAGTTTATGAAGCATTCACAAACCAACATAACATATTTATATTCATATAAATACACACATCATATACAAATTATATGAAAAATGCTTACCGACACAATATACTGCTTATCAGGTTGCAAATATTTGTTGATAGTGTAACAATACAAGTGAGGCCATCCTGAACATGCATTCGGAGACATCGTGTGAGAAAATGTATCTTCTGAACCTTTCTGATGGTGGGCCACAGTAAATGACTCAAGTGTTCCATATACTCTTTTAGGCTTTGCCCATCGAATGCCAATCATTCTTCGACCTCTTTTATAAACTTCCAAATTTTGAACTGTGTCTGGAACTAAAAATTAAGAAAATACATATATTTTAATTTCGGCCAGAAAACATTTTTGTTTTTATTGGCACATAGAAATTCACAATGTTTATCCCTTTCAAGAGAGATGTTCTCTACCATAGTTTTTGTTTTTTATTTCAGTTCAAAGTCAAAGAATGAACACCATGAATTAATAAAAGAAATTTTTGCCGGAATAATGTTCATAATATCCCAAAAAAAACAGTTACTAAAAATGTACAGTAGCAATTATCAGCTAAGATAAAATTAGAAAACTTCTACTTAGTTCTCATATTAATTGAAAATTTGTAATCACTTTGCATTTTGATGAACAACTAATAGTTTTGATATTCCTGTGTAGGTTTACATAAAATAATGCACTAAGACATCATACTGTGGTGGCATAAGGCTGGATGACTAGGAACAATTGACACGATTGAGAAATCTACTTTAGTGAATGGGGTTCTATAAGTATGGGCATATGTTTTGAGCAGACGGGGTCTTTTCTATATTTGGAGCTTCCTTAAAAGATAGGCTCCAGAGGAAGGAGAGGTTTGTGTCACACCACCCTTACGCCATCCCAGAATACAACAATAGTGTACAGATATAAGAATTAATTTAAGTGTAACATGAATATAATACAAATTGCAACGTGCTTCAAAGAATACCAGTATCAGTTGTAAATGTTTCCACAATTATTTCAATCAAACTCATCAAATTTATAGATATTACAGAAGTTAGAAAAATGATAAAATTTCACATCTTACTGTAAAATTTTGTTGCATTTTTAACTATACAATGATCAGAATCGTTGCTTTAAAAACATAAAAAAGTTTTGGCATACTATTATTTGTGTGTAATACAGTTTTGGAAATTATAATTAATTTGCAAATAATTATTATTAACTGTTGTTATTAATTATTTGTAAAGAAATTAGTATATCTCATTTATAGATACTTGTGTGTTGTTTATGTATAAATTAATTTCTATTCCTTTTTGGAGTGTCCTGACTAATAAAATGTGTCAATGACAAATTGAGCATTTCTCAATAACAATTTTTCTGCCTACTTTGTTCAAATTTTTTGGGCCCTTGAATAATGTGCTAACGAGATTCCAGTATGAATAATAATTATTAACAATAATAAGTATTTTTACTTTGTATTCTTTTTTGAACTTTTGTGTGAACCAAAATAATTCAATTAAAAAGTTAGCACTACTAATTATCACAAATTTTACCTGTTGCAGAAGATGAAAAAGGAATGACCAATTTGAAATCTGTGTTCCATCCATGAGAGGTCATTGCATATACGAAAACTTGGTATTGAGTCATTGGAGTCAGAGATGTAAAACTAGTTTGCAAATCCTTTGTTGTTCCATTTTGAAGAATGGTTGTTCCTTTTTCAGTCTCTGAGGTGAGACTAAAGTGATATCCAGTTAACTGTCCATTGCGACCAGGGCATGGGGGAGGTAGCCATTGAACTATCACTGTTGTATTACTTTTAGAAACAATTGGTTGGTTGCTGGCAATAGGGGAAACATCAGGACCTAAAGACAACCAAGTAATAGTATTAAAACAATAACATGATGAATTAATAAATACACTTATAGTCTAATATATTCATGGTACATACTTGTTGTTTTTGTTGTTGCAAACACGGATGTGAAGGGTCCTTGACTTGACGAATAAGCTGCTACTCTTATTTTGTATTGTACATGAGGCAATAAATTGTATAAGTTAGCTGAATGTTCTTTTGTCTCTAGACTTCCACTGGAATTTCCACATGATTCTTCACAAATGAACCTTTTCACACACTATTTAATAAATCAGAGTAATACAATATATTTGCTTGATTAAAAAAATTGAAATTTTTTTTTTTTTTAATTTTAAAAAATTAAAAAAAAATTTAAGCAATGTGAAAAATATATTGTTTTTTAATTTCAACAATGGAGGTATGAAGATATGTATTTTCCATTACACTGCATATGCTCCTGCATTTAAGTTGACCTCAATATTATAATTATTAATTGGAAATTTTTTGAGTTACGGTCCATAAAAACATAGTTAACCAATTTTGACAATGTTTCAGTTATTTATTTAGCATCTATCAGAGCTATGGATCATAAATATATACGGATCATAATAACCCCATATTATGTAGACTGACAAATAAATCTTATTACAAATATTTTATTTGATTTAGCTATAACATAATTGGCATGACATGTAAACAACAGTTAATAGGCAGCAAAATTGCTGCTTTCAAAAATATTTCTGTTAAATTACTCCTTAGCTGTTTTTCTACATGCCATGCTTAAGAGAAATTATATTCAATTTTATGAGCCTTATAAAGCAGAGTCATATTAAAAATTTACAATAAAATATTTAGGTCATTATAGATTATGCTAGGATATTTTTAGAGATCCAGAGCCCAGATGAAGGCAAAGTATACAACCGAAGGATCAATATCTATGTTTTTATTGACCTAAAGTCTAGAATCTTCCAATCGATCAGTATATAAAGAACATGGATGGATGTCAAATAATACTGATTTGTGACGATGTAACAATGAGATGTACCTGGTATTGTATTCTGTATCCCTTTATGCTTCCAGTGAACAGAGGTCTTTTCCAAGAAATTTGTATGTTTCTTCCATTTCTTGAATTCACAGTAAGATGTCTCACTTTCCCTGGCACTACATATGAAATGAACAAGTTTCATTTAGTAGATATTTGTAGATAAAAAGTAGTAATTCAAGAAATTAAAAGTCTTATTTCAACAATAAAAAAAAATGTTGAGAAAATGGTGCTGAGGATTTAATTAAAATGATACAAAGTATTGCATAGAAATCAAATGACATAGTAATGTGATTAGTGAGGACAAAAGAAGTAAAGGAACAATAACGGCCATACAATGACCAATAGAGTTATTGACATCTTTACCCCCCCCTCCCTGTCCTCAGCCATGTAAACAATACCACAAAATAATGAAGTCAACATCATCTAGGGCTCATTTTACAATTATTGATGGAATATCTGATTGGATGTAGGTTATCGTCCCAATATTTTTCCAGTTTCAAACACTTTTTATTGTGTTTTAGTGGATTACTTTATTCTATAGACTTCAAAACATAATCGCCTTTGTTTATTATTTTTTAAACTAACTTAATTAAAATATATACATAGGAATGTCTTAGATTTAGATTTATTTAGTCAAAATAACAGTAAAAACTGTATGTGACGTATGGGGGAGAAGATTATCTGCACATGTTTTCTTGAGTTCCAAAACTCCTTTCTATCATTTTAACTATAAATAGTTGAAAGATGAGTAAAAGTTTAAAATAAATAAATAAATATAAATTTTAAGGAAGCGTGAGATTAGCAATATTTGAAAAAATAGACATTTTTATTCTTGAGTTATAAAAAACTTATTTGCATCGGTAAACAAACTGCAAGTATGATTTTTCAGCATTGCTAACAAAATAGTAACTCACCCATACCTCTACTCTTACCATTACAAGCAAAAGAATAGTTCAACAAAACGTGCGCATAATGAAGCTACATTTACATCCAGAAGCAAAACAAGGGGCCATCTTAGCATTTGTTCAATGGATCAGGGAAACTCTACAAAAACCTTATTGAGATAGGGTCTTAATGTTTCACTCTTTGAATCTTTATGATACAGTCGACTAAAACAAACTAATTTACAGGAACCAAAGACAGTATGCAAAACAATTTATTCTTAAATAAATTATTCAGATCAAGCTATAAATTCTGCACAAAAACTGAGGGTGTGAAGAGTCTTTATAAAACACAGGGATTGTAGGTAAAGTGATCATGAGGTTTTTGTGTTCCAAATCTTGCTAAAGTTGAACATTGCCCTAGCTAATTACAGTAGTGAATAACAGATTTGCAAAAATATTTTTGAATTTGTGCAGTAGGGAGATATGATCCCCAATTTATATATTCAGAAGATTGGACACAAGTTAAATATTATTTCTGTATTTATTTTAACTGTATTTTGTGTGAAACTTATTCCCCTTATTTAGTCTCTTATCTTCTCTTAAGTGGAGAGCAGTGGTGACAGTGGCAAGGAGGTTCAAAGTGCTCTGCCCTTCCCATCCATCTTTCCTTTCCATTGTATATTATTTGAATTTTAAAGTAGATATTATTCTCGGATTTCAAAATTAAAAATGCCCCAAATTTCATGCCCGAAGTTTTCCTTGACTGGTTAGGGATGTTTGAGAACTGTCTCCTATTAAAGTATAGCCTAATTTGATGTAGCCATACGCTCAATGATTTGGAGTTGTGAAAGTTGCAACATGGGACTTGCAAATGGCAGCTGTCTGTGGGAGCAACCTGGACTAGGTGACTTGGATACTTGGGAAAAGATGAGCTACCTAATTACAAGTTTTTGAACTCTGACACCAAATATTTTTTCTACTATTCGCATACAGGATGCAGAAGTGTACAAAACTTATTCTGTGATGGAAGATTGTTTCATCCACCATGACCTATTACAACACTATATTCACCGTTTTCTTGCATATTCCCATTCAAGAATTTGTGTCCACTCTCAAAATTGTCTCTGGAGATGCCTCTGGTGGAGAGCCTTGGGCACTTGGGTCCAATTAGTTTCAGTGAAGATATTATTGTACCACTAACCCACCTTGGTGCTTGTATATTTTTTAGAGATTTTTAGGATAGAAGCCAATTCCTCAGGGAATACAGGATCTCCACAGTACAGTTACCAGGCCAAGGGATTTGGACGGGATAAAAGTTTAGAGGCGATATAAGGAACTAGGATGTATGCCACAAACACAAAAGAAAATGTGCACACCTTACATGGGTTTTGTACTCACAGCCCTGGTGACTGCATGCTTGGGCATACCTAATTGATGGCAGTTCTAGCAAAGGAAATTGATTTTCTGTTATTCCATTTTCCCTTCATTTTACCCTGGTGATTATAATTGCTTGAAAATAAAAGGTTATTGAAATATTGATTTTTTTGTTATCTGTATAAAAAGAAACTACACAAAATACTTATTATTGTGGACTATCATGAAGCAAGAAAAATAAACTTTATGTTACTGTACATGTAATCCAGTGGCATGGCCTCTTTGTTACCAAACAGTGACACCAATTTCCCCACAATAAAAATCACGCCACTCACCAAACATTAATTTCTTTAAATTATCTAAAGGTTAATTTTGGATTACAACCAGGGTAAAAAATGAAGAATAAAATGGTAAATGAAAACCAAAAGCTGGTTTTTGAGTATAACCACTAGGTTATTTCCGTCCTTAGGGCACCTCTCCAAAGCCCCTGCGCCATTGGCCCAGCTGTATTTTCACAAATACTATTACTACCTTTTCCTTCTGTTGTAACTCCAAAAGGCTTAGAGCAAGGAGCATATCCATGTATAGTTTTTGCACAAGCACGAACTATATATTGGCGAGATGGCAGCAAAGCTGAGTAAGCAGTATAATTAACTATGATGGGTAATTCTTGAGAATACGTTTTCCACTGGTCTTGGAGTATTATTTGAAATGAATCTACAGGGCACCATTTGTCACTGTAAACAGGATACTTACACCCAAATTATTATTAATAACATATATGTCATTTCTACAAAAGTGAAGAACAATAAGCCTGCTTTGAACAGCAATATTTATATTCTGATTTGATTCTATGTATTATGTTCATAAAGATGTTTTTTCTACAAGATATTTGCTTACATTCCAAGTGATGATAAAACTTGATTGCGTAATATTTCTGCTTTCCATTTCATAGATGTTTGAATTGGGCACTAGAATACAATCAGATTTTAAACAATTATTTAATAATATTGTTATTGTTATTTTACTCACATGATACAAAAATTATTCTTGAAATTTATAGCAATAGTGTTCTTTAAAATTTTTTAGTGTTTAAATATTTACTTCAGACAGAAAAATTATTAAATATCCTTTATTTTTAAATGTTTATAGAACATTATATCACAAAGTGTAATAATTGATTATAGGCTTTAAATCATATATATTTCCAAATGAACTTGCATACCTTGGCAGTCTGTTTCAAATTGTAGTGTGGGGACTGAATCACCTCTATAACTATTTCCATCTTCACATATTACAACAATTCTTAGTAAGTATTTGGTCCCTACATTTAGATCCGTAACAGTGATCAAAACTACTGACCTTGAATTTATCTCTTGAACTGATGTTTTATTCCATTCAGAACTACCTATTTTCTGAAACCAAAGTGTGAAAAATGAATTTTTAATATGAAAAATGACTGCTTTAAAAATACACGAGAAATTATTTTTGTACCTAGCAAGGGAAAAATAATAATGATAATGTTGTATTTGTAATAAGAAATTTGAAAAGTACCTTAAATTGTACTTCATACAAATGAGGAATTCCCATTCCTTTTGGATTTTGAAAGTTAGCAGAAATAACAACACTATTAAAACTTCTTTCCTTAATACTTGGCGCTTGACTTAAAAATGCATATTCTGAAATTCCATAATAAACAATTCAGTTGATATAACAAGTATTATTCACAAAAATTAATGTAAAAATATAATGTATTTCTGAATGTTTTTCTAATTTAACTAAAATAATTATAATTGTAGTCATGGTAACACTTGTGCAGATAGATTAAAATGTTGGCTATTCAGCAAATCAAAATTTGTTAAATAAATAATAGGTTAAGTCATCAGACATTTCATCTGCTGCATTTTGCTCCATCAGTGTTTCAACAAGTAAAACAGTAATTTAGAATGGCAAAGTTCACACTAAGCAACTCAAGCAGTTCCATGGAGCAATGGCTTCTGGCCAACCTCTAATTCTCTAAGGCTTAAGCCATTCTTCCATCCAACTCTTCAACTGCTTTTGCTCTGCCTCACAATACCACGAGCAACACAGATTGCGAACTTGTGGTGAGGGCCTAGTTCTTCTGGCAGCCCAAGGATGACAGTATAATTGTCAGGCGGTGTAGCTGAGGGGTTAATAAGAAGTTTGAATGAACCAGCATGAGCTCCTCAAGCAAGGCTGTACTTGCCTGAGCAAACTAAGCAGGTGCTTAGGGGCTTCAAGGATTTCCAACATTTTTTCCCCATGAATGTATAAACATATTTTATTAGATTATTTTACCAAATAGATAAATTAAAAGATAAATTACAATTCTTTCATGTCCAAAAATAAAACAATAATTTTTGTTACTGCATGGTTATTTTTCAGTTGATAGATTACATGTAAAAACAGTGTAAGGTAAGCAAAAAAATTAAATACACTACTAGTTATTACTTACGATGTTGACATAATGGAGGATAGTAGCCCTCTTCACACAAATCATCACATTCACCAGTGTATTTATTACAGGAGCCTTCTTTACATTTTCCACATAAGTTTTGACAATTAGCTCCATAAGTCCCAGGTTCGCATTCTGATGCATATATAAACAAAACACTTAATCTTAAATTAAGATGTGTAACCACAGAAATAATATGATAATTATATTCAAGATAACGATTAACATTTCACAACTCTTGGAAAAGTAATAAGCAATATTTATCCCTTTCTACTTTAATTTAAAATTTGTTGCCTCTATTGTTATTTTGTTATTTTTATTGCTTCTATTGCAACATGAAATTGTACTCCACTCCACCCTAGATACTTAGAAAAATGTGTTTTGCTACCACAACATCTGGGTTCCTTGTTTACGTAATTTTTGAAGTTAATGAAATGTAGCACATAACACCATTTATTTGTAAGAATTTCATAATTAATATGTGCCAGCCTTTGTGACATTCCAGATGATTGCTTTAGTAAAATCTTTTTAAGGAAGGGGGCAGGCAAGAATGTATTTCTTATCATGGAATAAATGGGCTCAACATTGAAAATAAAATTTGACCCAAAATCCTTACCAGGAATATAAGTAAGTATATAATGGAAACTAAATGTGAAGGTGTATAACAATCGCTTATCATGTTCTGACTGAAACATCATTGTAAAACTACTGTCAATTTATCCTGGGGATGGATATTCTGTTTCTGACTACAACAAGAAAGACACAATAATTTTTTGAAATACTTATTTTTGCATTGAAATAGTTAGGGGCCATCCATAAATTACAGAACACAAGTTGAGTATTTTTGAATACCTCTTCTCCCACCAGAAATGCATCTGTAAAGCATTGTTGAACTCCTTCTAGATATTTACATAATGATTTAATACATAATACTATGCTAATTAAATAATACTCCCTTTTACAATAAGTAAAAAATAAATTATATAACAGTAAAAACAATTTGTATTTACTTTATTTCTGTTTCATATAGGTATTTATGATAATTAATGTCAGAAATAGTTGGCAGTGCTAACTACACTTGACATGAAGATTGCGGACTATTTTTGAGTGAAGAAAGGGCGGAAATATTTCTGACAAACCATGAACATGCTATCTTGGATGACTATAGGGTAGAATTTAGACATTAAAATTTTTAAAAAATTGCTTTTTGAAAATAAGTCAATACAATTTTATGGTACTCTAAAAATTAAGATTTAGCATTTTGTAGTAATATTTTAATCATTTTGAGATAAAAAATTATTTTGATGCATTTTAGATTTTCCCATGAAAATCAGGAAATAAAGGGAACTAATTTAATACTGCTTCATTTGTGAACTTCAACATATATTTAAAGAAGTAATCATAAATCATGGAATGATTCCTGTCTTAAATAAAACTACAGGCTTCTGAATAACACGATTCAAAGAAGAAGAAAAGGATAGTTTTGCAATTTGTAAATACTTATTAAATCAACACAACATTCTTTTGAAAGGTCATGTATTTTGTTAACTGAAATTCATTTATATAAATAACTATAAATATGTAACATAATCATTGGAAAATTAAACGAGAGCATATTTCATATTGGTTTCCTTTAACTTATATCTTCTGTCAGTAACAAATAAACTATATTGATTAAAAAATTGTTGGACTTCTATACTGTTGTCCACTGTCACTGTCAAATTTAAACAGTTTCAAACATCAAAGCTTTGTCAATGTTTCATCCCTAGTTAGAGAGCAAACATGAAGGAAACTATAAAATGTAATTTAGCAATTTTATTGCAGATGCATGACCATTCTGCACTTTGGATGTGGTTTGGCATTCTGCGATCAATTTCGCATTTTTTTGCAGATTGAAAACCTTCAGAAATATACTTCACCAACTGTCAATTATGCAGTTACTAATTTTTCTCAATGTAATTGCTAAAAATCTATCATCTCCATGGATGACCCATGAGGGAGATTCTACAGCACTAATTTATTTGAATTTTATTAGATATAGTATAGATCAGTTTTCAAAATTAGCAGTGTCTATAAGAAAACAATTAAAATATAACATGCCTTAATCACTTCCATTCTAATTTTAAGCAAGAGAATTATCTTGCTAATAATTGTCATAATGAAAATTTCCTTTATTTAGTAAAGATTAAAATTATAGTATTCATCATCCAATTCAATTCCAAAACTTTTCTTTCAAAAATTCATACATCTTTTCCCTTCTTTCTCAAAACTTTTACTTTAAATTCTCCTTCCTTCTTTTATTAAATCTCTCGACTTACATTTTAACTTTCATTTCACATTTTTAATTTAATTTAATTTTATTGTCCTTACCCTTTTCACATTTGTTTCCTGTAAATCCAGCAGCACATGAACAGTTATGAGTAATATTGCAAAATATAATGTTTTTGCAACCATCCTGAAAAGATGAGCATGTGCCACTGCAATTCAGGCCAAAGTGATTTGGCCCACAAGCTGTAGAACAAGGAAATCAATTGTAGCTATTTTCTTCAACTGTGACCAAAAAAAAATTATGAACTCTAATCCTCTAAATGCTATATATCTGAATTACTATCTCATTTTGTGGTTATTGGCAAAAGTAGTAGTCTTCACCATTTGCAAAACATATTCACCTTTCATTCTAATTAATGTGATGTTTATAATTTTGATGATTAAGAAGAAAAAATAAGATTGGTGACATATGCACATTAAAACATATAATGGTTCAAAGATCATCAGTAGCTCCTATTAAGCTGCATTCCTACCTTCAGTGCATGTAGGTCCTGCAAATCCAGTTGGACATACACATGTCTTTGCAATTTTATCATATGCTCCTCCATGATTGCAATTGCTCACAGTTTCGCCACTTACTCTGAGTCCTACAAAATACACATCTAGTTTTATGTTCACAATTGTCATGTCAGTCTTCTTCCTACCAATTAACCTATGGATTTATCTGTTGAGCAGCTTCATGAGCTAGTAATCCAGATTCATATTCATTATTAATGCTAATTCGCATATTACTTTATAGTCAATTTTCTACATTCAATAGATGTAATTATCTCTGAAAGGTCTAAATACACTGTTACTGAAATCCATCCTTTCTTTATCGATATCAGTTGTTCCCTCAACACAGCTTCCAAAGATAGGAGGAGATCTTCTCCAAGAATGTTTATGCAGCCAACTAATGTGAAATTTCTTATTATTTTCCAGGACATTTAAAAAACAATACATTCAGTTAACTGTACACATACACCACATTCCTAATGTACGTGTACCAGATATCGTTATGAAATATCTACATACATATAAATCATTTTATCTTTTATTCAATTATAAATGGTGTTCTAGTAATTCAAATAAATGTACTAGTTACTGTGTGAAGAATCAACAAGCTAGTGTAACATATTAACATACTTGTTTTAGAAGTGAGGTTTTTGGGGAGATAGCCCTCCCAATATCTTCCTGGAAAAACATAAACATCGTCTCCTGTAAAAATTAAGAAAGAATCATCCTAAAAATATCTCCTTTAATATGAGTTTTAAAATTACTAAAAGAGATATTTTCTGAATGTGTGTTTTACCATCAGTAGAACATTCGGCTATACTGAAAATTTTACTCTTTCTTCCCTCTAGATGTATAGATAGTTTAGTAGAGTCATCTCTGATATCAAGAGTACTGTTTGACACATAGCGACTTATTCTCCATCCATTTATCTGTGAAAGAAAGTTACTTTTATTTTTAGTCGAATAAAATGATCTTTCTCTTCTTAGATTGTGATATAGCATAAATTTAGTCAAGCAGATATGCACCATCAAAATGTGAAAAAAGCAATTATACAAGTGAAACTATGAAGGATCCATGAGCAGTGAGTCATCACAATAATAGAAACAAACTACACAGAATCAGAAACTGTGTATGGTGCTATGGTGATAGTACTGTGCTACAATATACGGTGAGAAATATTGTGTTTGGGGTCGACATACAGTATGGAAAATTAAACAAACTATGGTTGTTTTGGAGTGCTATGAGAAATATTAGATTTTAGGGTACACCATAGTAATGAAAACAAACAAACAAAACAAAAAGTAATGAAAACTGTGGATAGTTGTAAGTTTCAGTTGTTAGGTACACACCTTACAATAGTACATTAGGGTATCCCTTATATTTCAAAACAATTTTTTTGCAAATTTTTTGGAGCTCACCCCCTAAATATTTTCCATTCCATATTAAACCGTGCTGAATTGAGTGTGAAATTTTAATGTTAGGGATGATTGGTTTTATTAGGTTAAGTCGGTGGAAAACTACTGATACATGTTAATTATATAATTTTATATTACAATTTAATTTATTCTCCCTCTTTAGACTGTGCTATGGTTTTAACTTTTCTTGTTGCTACTTTCTTGAGTGTTTCTTTTTTGCAAAATGGGTACAATAAACTATGTTCTTGAACAAAACAAGAAGAAATTACTTTCTCTTCTTATCTACATTCAGTAGTCCATGAAAATCTTGCATTAATTTAACAGGCCATTTTGTGCAATCATTCAAAGTTAATAAGTTTTTGCGAACAATACTGATTAGCTTTTATTGTAATTCTTGCTTTCTCCTAAAAGATCATGCACTCACAAACCACAAGTTTAGCACTTGAACTAACTGTTAATATGACTTCCCATATGTTATAAAATAAAACTTCAAGCACTTGTTTATTTGACGGTAAATTGTGACCAGTTATTTGGAGTTTTATATTAATAATTAATAATATTATCTCCTTTTAAAAAAACACACTCTTCGGCACTGTGTATGACACTAACATATGCCATTATGTTAGATTAGCAGCTTGTAAACACGATGTGACACAATCGATTAAAATTGTTCATGTACTGTTAAGTTCGGACCTGACTCAACGCTGGGTAGTAGGTATGGACTTCAGATGTCGGTGATGCGAGTTTGCACTCAAGACGGCACGGGTTAGACTGCACTGATCTCAACAAAATTTTGTACATGCATGTAAGGTCAATCAAAGAAAATTGAAAAGTAACCGTTCAAAAATTTCAGTCAGAAAATAAGGGAAATCCTAATATTACATGTCTATAGTGCAACAACCTAAAGGGGCGTGTCGATTTTATTAAAGAAGAAAAGAATGTCATTAATGAAAATATACTATCCATGCATTTTGAAATTTTAGAAATAAAATTTAGTATTATAGATGTATAAGAAATAAAAGAAGGTGCGTCCCCTTCCAAATGTCCCTCTGTGTAATGAATAATTTATGAAACAAAACTGATTTTCCATTTCTTATATGAACAAGATAAATGTATGCATATTCATGTATATGCTCTTACCAAATTTGTATGAGTTTGTCTGAAATATATTTTGCCAGCAGTTGATTGGTCAGCATAAATGTTCAGTGATCCAGATGAAGGCAGTGAATAAATAAGTGACATGCAAAGACTAGGTTGTGAAATGTTAAGAGAAGAAGTAATGACCCCACTTTCACTTTGTAGTTCTGGTACTGACAAATCTGGAATCGATTCTGGAAAAGTAAATCAAAGCATTAATGGTCAGACCATATTCATTCATAAATTAGTAGTCAAATCAGTGGGTACTAAAGGCAGCCTATTTCTATTGGCAGGAAAGTTATATATTCAATTTTTGTAGAAAATAAAATGAAAGTAAGATATATTCAAACTCACAATAAACTATTAAAATAAATGATCATGTACTCTTTCTACTATTGCTTATACATAGTATGTCTTAAAACGTACACAGTGTGATGTAACAGTGTCATGTGAGAGTTCCTGTGTAATGGTTATATATAAAGATGCAAATTGGGCGCGCTTGTAGCCGGGGTATTCGTACGGTGTAGGCTTTAGTGACGGCTAAAGCAGTGAGCTCTAGTTACAGTGTTGAGATCACTGGCTAAAGCAGCTACCGTAACCAGATGGTGTTACCACCAGAGCGAGTCTTGCGGTGACGTCGCACAGTGATTGATTTCCTTCATCTAGCGGGAATAAAATATTATCAAGAGAACCGTAATGCCGACGGTTTTGAAAATGGTGAGAATTATACCTTGTGCCATTTTCCATTATATTGTAATGAAGTAACAAAATCTAATAATAAATTCATTGCCCTCGAGTCTTGATAAGGATTACCAGGTAATCACTGATTTAGACTTATGTCAAAAAAACGAGTCTTGATAAGGATTGCCAGGTAATCAATGATTTAGATTTAAGTCAAAAAACACCAAAAACCTGTATGACGTATGGGGGAGAAGATGATATGCGCACGTTTTCTTGAGTTCCAGAATCCCTTCCCATCATTTTAACTACAAATAAATTTTAAGGAAGCGCGAGATTAGTAATGTTTGAAAAAACTATACATTTTTGTTCCCGAGTTATAGAAAACTTATTTGCATCGGTAAATGAATTGCAGGTATGATTTATCTGCATTGCTAACAAAATAGTAACTCGCACTTACCTCTACTCTTACCATTACAAGCAAAAGGAGAGTTCAACAAAACGTGCGCATAGTGAAGCTACATTTACGTCCAGAAGCAAAACAAGGGGCCATCTCAGCAAATGCTCAATGGATCAGGGAAACTGGACAAAAATCTGATCGAGATGGAGATGCTAGAACGAGATCGAAATGTTAGAATTACTTAAGAATGCAATGACCTACTCCTACTAAAATTTCACGAGACAATAACTCAAAATGTAGTATACTGATTCTGATTCATATCTAACAGCGCAAATAAAAAAAATAATAACAAAGAAAAGTTACAATAGTTGACATTAATCGCTCACGAAATCGACTTTTCTACCTTCACGTAGCACATGAGCTCCAGGAACATGCACAACTTCACAACTTCCGTCGGTAGCTGTTCAGTTTTCTTAGTTGATAGCGGCCGGATGCTTGTTATTACTGCGTCAGAAGAAATCAATAGGAAATGAAGCATATCTTTATTGCCAGATACTCTAGATAATTTTCGAGTATTCCTTTCTCGACACGACTTGAAGTCTTTGTGTCGAGCTTCCTGCATGTCTTCTGACAGTGTCCTATTGGGAAATCGTGTCATAAATGACATCAGCGCCATGAATTAATATTTAATATTAATAATTAATATTTTGTGCATTGTTACAGGCGTGAAGTACTCATTCAAATAAACTGACATAAACGTTTTCTGTTTCAGATGCGTTTTTTTTTTCTGAAAGCTTCCGTAATCACATCATATCCGCCTCTCATTGCTTGTAAAACAATAGGGAAGAGTCGAATGAGACTTTCATAAATCCCTGTGATGTTGGTATACTGCTCTAGACTTTGAAAAAAACTTGCCGAAGAGTATTCTCATCGTTCGTTGTACCACTTCCTTGTTTTGGGATGTCTATAAGGAGTCCCATTTTCTTTCGAAATTTGACAAATATTTGCGTTTTCCTGGGATGTTACTGCATCTTTCCTTCATATTCACAAACCCGCCATTTTTTTTAAAAATTGCCTGTGTCTTGTGTGAAGAAGGCACTCGAAGTAAGGAATTTTAGCTTAAAAGATCAACATAAAAAAACTCCTTATGGCAAGGTTTTTTTAATAATCTGTTTTAGATTGTTCATTTGTTTGGAGATGAATCACACATAGAACACTTCTGACAGGAGGCTTTAACATAAGTGAATTACTCACTTTTTCCTCATAGATTTCAACAATTTGTGATACACAAAGATATCTGCACCCCCAATATTAAATTTTGTTGCTTGAAGCTTCTCAATGTTTTCTTCTAAACGAGCTATTTCTGCATTTGTCCTATGTGGTGTCGCCTTCACGTACTCGAATTTAATGGGTCTGTAAAATCTCGCTGTATTTTTCGCCTATTTGTTCTCTTCGAACACGAGAATTCTTTGCCAGGTCTATCTTTCGTCGTTTTCTGCGCTTCTTCCTCGACTCCCACCATTTCGCCGTCCAGTCATGCTGGGTTCCTGGCCGCGAATCTGTCTACCAGTCTGTTACCAGCCTTCCATTTGTCAGCAATTTGGCAGGTGAATATCCGTTTCTTCTCACATTATATTGCATCTGGAATACTTACAAAAACATTACGGGAAACATAATGCATGAACAGTTATCTATTCTGTAAATCTGTAGCACGAGGGAGTTCACCACTCACGCGAGAGCTCGAATAGCTCCCGTCGAGTGATTGTATAAGCATCTGAAAAAATCGAGTTTTTCGGAAAGGTGCAAACTCGGGCAAAAACGTTTTCCACAACTTTGTTTCAGAAGGTTTAGGAAATACAATTATGCAAAAATCATTCTTGGAAATTTGCTGGCAACTCAAGATAACTGAGTTTTAACTCCCGTTCACTAAGAAACCTGTCTCAAATACATGGTGAATCTGTCGCATATAAATTAAATAAAAAATGTAAACATTTCTATTAAACGTTAAGGCATTATAAAGAATATATCTTACGGATTTTCGTCCATATCGAACAATCAAGTTATCCTTAACAATGTAGGGGCAGTGGATAATAACACGAAGCGCGTCAAAGCAGGACTTACAACCTCTGCGCACGCGGCTCGGAAGCGCTCGCTCAACAGACACCCCCCCCCCCAATCTTCTGAAAAATGAATGTAGCATTTATGGGGACTGGTACAGTCCTGGCAAGATTACAAGTAGGCTTTCATTCGTTTCGAGCACATGCATTTTTGATTTAAATACCGCTAGAGTCTGGTCGTCAACTACTGAACGTCCTATGGCGTATGAAAGGCGCGAGAAGCGGCGGAGCATTGTACTGCATTGAGATCATAGACAAGTGAATGCTCCGTGATTGAGTCAGCTTCGTGTTGTTAGTGTCTTATATTGTGTTCGTGCCTCGTTATATTGTCGGTTATAATTGGATATTGGTTACTTCGGGATTCGTACTGGAGAATCTCCTGGTGAGGACGGCCGTGCTCGTTTTCCTAGCCATCTGGTACAGGCCTACATGGTTGCGAGCATTGTATTGGCAATTGATTTGGAATATCGCTTTTATAAACCTTTGTTGTTGATTTACTTAGCGTATTTTTCTGGACATAACGTACTGTTAATTTCTTTAGGCAAAAATCATGTAGCCAACTTGAAACAGAAGTCCTTGTAGCAACCCTTCACCAAATCCTGAGGGACATGTTGCCTTCCATTTTAATATTCCATGCCAGTACAACTTTCACCTCAAGCGTCGGAATAATCTCGAGCTTAATGTTGTGTTAGAAAGCCTTGGATAATTGAATCGTTCATTTCAGAAACCCGTCAAACGCCAAATTCCTCATTCCGAGAAAACTGAGAAAAGGTCTCCCAATTTATCTGATTTTAAAATATTTTTGTTTATTAATGCAGTCGGTAAATGAATATTTTTCATATAAATATGCACTAAACGATCTGTCTATTCTCTTGGAACAATAATCCGCCGCTAATGCGTGTAGCATTAGATTTTGGCGTTTGACGGGTTTCTGAAACAAACCATTCAATTTTTCTACCCATCAGTGCCGTAACTATCGCCGGCCCGGCAGATGCAATTACCAGGGGCCCACGGACATAAGCAATTATTTGGCCGAACTGAACACACTTTAAAGTCCCTTTCCGAAAGCGATTCTAGTGAAAAGTTTGAATTACATATTTTATTACGAAGACGCGGAGATATATTCTAAATTTGTAATTTGACATCCCGGGACCCCAATTATGTTTTGTTTCATTTAAAATTGGGCACATCCATAACTGAAGCGTCTGTGTCCTACTAGTTGGGCCAATAAATGATTCACTTTTGGCGTTTCGGATCAGATATGCTGATGTTTTGCTAGGTTTATTCAAATTAATTTTAACGAGAAAAAGTGTATCTGAGCGAGCAGTTGCGTGCAACTTGCAAAAAGAAATGGAGACGATCGAGTTTGAATTCAAAGTTGTATTGCAATTTAAAATATTTTATCTCGACTAATACTGTGTCTCGAAATCTGCAAAAATCTTATTTTAATCTTTGTCAAGCACGGGATTTGATTGAAGCAGTTCTGAAGGATCTAAAATATTTTAAAGGTCACCTTGACCAAGCCAAATCTGATGCAGTAGAGTTGGCTACATCTTGGGGCGTAAAAGTCGTGTGTTTGCGAGAAACGTGTAAAAAATTAATAAAAAACAATGTTTCGATGAACTGTGCGAAAATCAATGTTTATCTGACGACAAAAAAAGATCGAAAGTAAATGTTTACATCGCTTGTTTATATGTTGTGATATGCAGCTAAGCCATCGATTTATTGGCTTGAATAAAATAATCGATTGGTTTACGATCATTCAGCCCCAAACTGTTGTAACTTTCAAAGGAAGAACTTATTGAGTGGGAAATTAGTGAGAAATACTATGACAACGTAACTGATCAACTGTTCACCCAGCTTTTATCCTTGCGTAGTTGCATGAGACATCGAATTTCAAAGATTCATTCAATCATAGAGTTAGCTAACTTGGTTCTGATATGATTGAGTACTTAATTGCTTCAGCTAGCTTTCGAGACGTCTGCTCAGAAATATGTTT